TAGTAGTGGTAGTAGCGGTAGCAGTAGCAGTAGTGGTAGTGGTGGAGGTGGTGGTGGAAGAATTAGTAGTAGTCGTCGTCATATCAGTAGTTGTGGTAGTAGCAGTGGTAGTACTAGTAGTAGTAGTAGTAGTAGCAGTAGTAGTAATAGTAGTAGTCGTCGTCATCGTCGTCGTCGCCGTAGTCGTAGCCGTAGTCGCAGCCGTAGTCGTAGTCGTAGCCGTAATCGTAGTATACTAGTAGTTGCCGTCGTAGTCGTAAGCGTTGTCGTAGTCGTAGTCGTCGTCGTAGTCGTCGTCGTAGTAGGAGTAGTCGTAGTCGTCGTCGTAGTAGTCGTAGTAATAGAAGTCATAGTAGCAGTAGTAGTAGTAGTCGTCGTAGTCGTAGTCGTAGTCGTAATCGTAGTCGTCGCCGTAGTAGTAGTAGTAGCAGCAGTAGTAGTAGTCGTAAGAATGATAGAACGGTATTATTAGTAGTAGTAGTAGCAGTAGTAGTAGTGGTAGTAGTAGTAGTAGCAGCAATGGAAGTAGTAGTAGTAGTAGTAGTAGTAGTAGTAGTCGTAATGATACTAGTAGTCGTAGTAGTAGTAGTAGTAGTAGTAGTAGTAGTAGTATAAATATTAATAGTAATAGCCGTAGTAGGAGTAGTAGTAGTAGTAGTAGTAGTAGTAGTAGTAATCGCAGTAGTAGTAGTAGTCGTAGCCGCAGTCGTAGTAGTGGCAGTAGTAGCAGTAGTAGCAGTAGTAGTAGTAGTAGTAGTAGTAGTAGTAGTAGTAGTAACAGTAACAGTAACAGTAACAGTAACAGTAACAGTAACAGTAACAGTAACAGTAACAGTAACAGTAACAGTAACAGTAACAGTAACAGTAGTAGTGGCACCAATAGTATCAGTAGTGGCTTTGGTCATAGTGGTGGTGTTGAATATAGGTCATCGTATAAAGTGCGCAGCGAAGCATAGTTCGCAATGCTGTTCGAGAATCGACGGTCCAACTCCGCAGGAGACTTAGCGCACATACCGATAATGCACTGATACTTGTAGCCCTCTCCTGAGACGTTTTCTGATCAGGACCCCGAGGTGGATCTGACAGTGGCGACGAGGGACCCCAAGGAGGCCTAGAAAAAATAAGCCTGGCGAAGGACCCAACCATATGCTAACATAGTTGTGAATATCATCTTCGGTGGAGCTCCCCATGGGGCCACGAACCGTGTGAGGGGCGTGCCCAAGTAGGTGGGGGGCACGCGTGGACTGTGGCACTGGGGCCTTAGGTGGGGCTTCCCATGGCCCACGAAACATGTGAGGGGTGTGCCAAAATGGGGCGGCGGCGCCATGCGGACCTTGCCACTGGGGCCTTCGGTGGGGCTCCCTATGGGGCCACGAACCTTGTGAGGAGTGTGCCGAAATGGGGCGGCGGCGCCATGCGGACCCTGCCACTGCGGCCTTCGGTGGAACTCCCTATGGGGCCACGAACCGCGTGAGGGGTGGGCCGAAATGGGGCGGCGGCGCCATGCGGACCCTGCCACTGGGACCTTCGGTGGAGCCTCTTATGGGGCCACGAACCGTCTGGAAATAAGGAGGCGGCGCCCTGCGAACCGTGCCACTGGGGCCTTCGGTAGAGTTCCCTATGGGGCCACGGTCAGTGAGAGGGGTGTGCCGAAATGGGGCGCGGCGCCGTGCGGACCCTGCCACCTGGGCTTCCGGTGGGGCTCCCTACGAGGCCACGAACCGTGCGAGGGGTGTGCCGAAATGGGGCGGCGGCGCCATGCGGACCCTGCCACTGGGGCCTTCGGTGGGGCTCCCTATGAGGCCACGAACCGTGTGAGGGGTGTGCCGAAATGGGGCGGCGGCGCCATGCGGACCCTGCCACTGGGGCCTTCGGTGGAGCCTCTTATGGGGCCGCGAACCGTCTGGAAATGGGGCGGCGGCGCCATGCGGACCCTGCCACTGGGGCCTTCGGTGGGGCTTCCCATGGGGCTCGAACCATGTGAGGGGTGTGCCGAAATGAGGCGGCGGCGCCATGCGGACCCTGCCACTGGGGCCTTCGGTGGAATTCCCTATGGGGCCACGAACCGTGTGAGGGGTGTGCCGAAATGGAGCGGCAGCACCATGCGGACCCTGCCACCGGGGCTTTGGGTAGGGCTCCCCATGGGGCCACGAACCGTGTGAGGGATGTGCCGAAATGTGGCGCGGCGCCATCCGGACCCTGCCACTGGGGCCTTCGGTGGGCTCCCCGTGGGGCCACGAACCGTGCGAGGGGTGTGCCGAAATGGGGCGGCGGCGCCATGCGGACCCTGCCACGGGGGCCTTCGGTGAAGCTCCCTATGGGGCCACGAACCGTGTGAGGGGTGTGCCAAAATGGGGCGGCGGCGCCATGCGGACCCTGCCACCGGGCCTTTCAGTGGGGCTCCCTATGGGGCCACGAACCGTGTGAGGGGTGCGCTGAAACGGGCGATGACGATGATGATGGTGATGATGATGATGATGATGATGATGCTGATGATGATGATGATGATGATGATGATGATGATGATGATGATGATGATGATGATGATGATGATGATGATGATGATGATGATGATGATGATGATGATGATGATGATGATGATGATGATGATGATGATGATGATGATGATGATGATGATGATGATGATGATGATGATGATGATGATGATGATGATGATGATAGTGGTGGTGGTGGTGATGATGATGATGATGGTGGTGATGATGATGATGATGCTGATGATGATGATGATGTTGATGCTGATGCTGATGCTGATGATGATGCTGATGATGATGATGGTGATGATGATGACGACGATGACGACGACGACGACGACGACGACGACGACGACGACGACGACAACGATGATGATGATGATGATGATGATGATGCTGAGAGGAGGAGGAGGAGGAGGAGGAGGGAGGGGGCAGCGGGAAGAGTGAACGCGGGGACAGCCTCTTCAAAACGAGGACCCAACACCACAGGATGATTGGGAGCAAAACGAGCATCGGCATCGGTATGGTGCTCCCTCCTCCTCTCCCTCCTCAAGTCCAACATCTCCGTCATCCTGATATCCCTCCCCCTATCCCTCATCCTGCTCCTCCAATTCGCACCGCTCCTCCAATCACTCCCCCTCTCCCTCCTCCTCTCCATCCCTTCATCCCTTCTCATATCCCTCATCCTACCTCTCCTCATGTCCCTCTTCCTATCCCAACTCACATCCCTTCGCCTATTTTATTCCCGACGCCCTCAATACCATGGTGACAGACCTGCAACTCGAAAGTGGAAGACCGGAAGGCTTAACGCGTTCATTTGGCAAAATTACTTTTACCGGTAAAACGTGGCACAAAGGAAATGGCGTCCTCCAAGGTGACCGCTTCGGCGATGAAAGACAAGACTGGGCCTTCGAAACGTATGCCACGAAATGCGAAGAGGAACGTATGGCCGTGTGGCGACAGTCGCCTTGCATGACCACGGCTTCCGCTGCCGGGGTGGCCGCCGAACAACGGGCACGCCGACTTACGCTAGCTGCTCTGCCCGGGACTCCGAGGCGGACCCTCCACCCCGGCGACGAAGGCGCCCTGCAAAATCCCTCGGCATGCTCCCGGAAACCTCGCAGAAGAGCCTCGGAAGGCGCTGGGAAACGTCTCGCGGGCCTCGCAGAAGCTTCCCGAAAGCCTCTCGGGAGCTTCTCGGGAGCCTCTCGGAATCCTTACAGCATCCCCTCGGAGGCCTCACGGCATCCTCTCGGAAGCTTCTTGGGAGCTTCGCAGGAGCTTCCCGCAGCTTCTCGGAAGTCTTTCGGAAGAATCTCGGAAGCATCTCAAAAACATCTCAGCATCCTCTCGGAAGCCTCTCATAAAAGCCTATCGGAAGATTCTTAGACGCCTCCTGGAAGCCTCTGTGAAGCTTTTCAGAAGATTCCCAGAAACCTGCCAGAAGCCTCTCGGAAAGCCTCCCAGAAGCCTCCGAAAAGCCTCCCAGAAGCAGGGGCAAGCCTTCGGACAACCTCTCGGAAGCCTCTCGGAACCTCTCAGGAACATCATAGAGCAAGCCTCTTGCAAGCCTCCTCAGAAAAGTTTCGGAGGGGCTCTCGGAAACCCCGCAGGAACTTCTTAAAAGCCTCCCAAAAGGATCTCTCTAGGGATCTCCCGAGGAACTCCCTAGAGAATGTCTGAAAGAGCTCTGAAGGATCTCTGAATGATCTCTGCAGGATAGCGCACCTGGATGATTTTGGTACCAGGAGTGATTGATAATTCGGAAGAACGGTTGGAATGTAAACACATGGGTTGTCAGTTGTCGAACTCCTGGTCCGACCCCACCCTCCGCGACTTCCACTCTGGAGATTGGTGAGGTGGGGAAGTGGGTTTCGAACCCCACTGCCGAGGCCAAGGCGGGGAAGTGACACGCCGTTGTTGCGGTGCAGGCATCGACCCGTTCTCCTGATGGAAATCCCCCCCTGGGTCCGGACAGGGGGCGTCCAGACCAGCTATCGGGTCCAAGATGGCCCCGGTTGGCTTGAAGAGGGTCTTTCGTATCCCAAGATGGCCTCCAAGAGAGCCCAGTATAGTCCAAGCTGGCTCAGTATGGCCTCTGGCATGCCTCCAAAATGCCCAAAGATGGCCCAAAGGTGGCTCCGAGTGGGCACGGACTCTCCCATGGATACGCCCGAGTCTCGAGAGGCCAATATCATGTGCTTGAACGTTTCTCAATGTTCGTTGCTTTCTCGCCTTTTCCACCAAATTGCTCAATATACCCGACGTGCAGCATTGCGCCATCTGCCAGTGCACATGTATGTCGCACTCCATTCCTTTGCTATTTGCGTCGCATGCTGATATCATGTCGCATCAATTTCGCAACACGCTGCTCCTGCTCGCATCCTGGAATCAGGGTCGCAGGGTTCTTTCGAGCGGCAGGCCGTTGCTGAAGATGTCATCACGCCAGACAAGAACGTGCCGATTTTCACTAACAAGCCACAGAGCGGCCCAACAGAATCCGAGGACCTCGGCGTGATCGTTGGCCGGGTCCAGATCGGCGCCGGTCTTGGCGTCCACCTTGAGAATGTGTCATAACAGTTCGACACAACATCATGTACCCAATGCTGTCACAAAACCCAGCACTGACTACAGCTAATCATCAAGCGTCGGGGCTTCACCTCGCATCCCCAAATCCTTCTGGCCGATACGTAAAGGTATGAGAGAGCGCTTCAGACCGGCGGCGAACTTGTGATCATTGTCTCACTTGGGGTAGATGTCTCAGAAAGGCATGAAATTCCTTACGCCAGCTCTTGGCAGTCATTGGCTCAGTCAGCGAAGACTCGTTATGATTTCCAGGACGGCCTGCAATGCTGCTTCACGAAACGCCGGGCTTGCTTCCTGGAGGACCCAAAACCAAGACATCCCCAGACCGCCAACGGTGGCTTCCCAAGGCGTTCAGGTCTATCCACGAAGCAAGACCATCCAAAGTTCTTATGGCCCCGGGAATACCAGGAAGGCTCTCAGACACCAATAAACGGTCACTAGCAGGCTGCTGTGACGCCAAAACCAATACAATGAATGTACTTGTTGATCACGGCTTTGCCTTGCAAGTTCTCTTCGCCCAAACATCCAGAAAGCCTTGAGGCCTCGAGACTCCCCTTGCTTCGCTCTGGACGGAAAGAGGCCCCACAAAGGGCTGCAAGACAAACCCAAAACAGCCCCAACGCGGCCCCCAAAAAACGGTTCATGTGCAAGACAGGACTGTCGGGTCGGTCGAAGGGGGCTAACGAATCAGCTCAAGTGGCTGGTTTTCCCGGCGCCTTCCGGCGCTGGAGACGACCACGCGAGCGGCGAAAAGCAACGGGTCTTGCGCAAGATGACGCAGCGACCCGACGCCGCGGCTTTCGCGGGCCGACAGCGCGCAACGCTGCATTTAGGTCGGGCGTGCCAGCTACAGGCGGATCTTGGAGGAGACACTCATCAAAACATTCCAAAAATGCATTCAACATGTATTCAATAATACTGACAAAACCGTCCCCGTACTACAATCAAAAACCCTAATAAGGACGCGCGGCAAGGACGCAAGACCCTTGGAAGCCGAAGTTGGGATTTTTGGGCGGCGGACGACGAAAACCTCAAGGACGCAAGAGCAAGGAAGAGCAAGGACGCAAGGGTACCCTGAGCAAAGTCGCGCGTCCTTATTAGGGTTTTTGACTGTACTTTTTGCCTAGTTTTGGACACTCCTCCTGTAGAGGGGCAGCCCCGATTTCACGCTGCCGTGGAAACGAGGGCGCTGGCGCGCGGCCTCGCGCGGGAACCCTACGCGAGCGTGTCGGCGCATCCGAGCCCTGCGTTTCTTCCTGCGTCGCCCACGCAGCAAGGGTCGGGAGCGGCCAAGAGGGGGGTGTCCAGGGGGGGGGGTGCAAATCATGACCGGCGGCATGTGCGCGGCCCAGCGGGAGGGCCAGGCACGTAGTGAAATAAGAAGAGGCGCCATGAAATCTGGGGAAATATCATGGCCCCGCCATGATATCCACCCCCCCCTGGTCATCACCCCCCTCTTTGCCGCCCCCGAAAGAGGGCGGTGCCCAGGCGGCGGTGCCGGGACCAGCCGCGCGCCGCAGAATTCGCAACCCCGAACCATCAGGTCGGGCATGTCCTCCGACAGGAGGACTCTCGAGGAAAGACTTGGGAACAGTCCGCGGAAATCCAGCCGCAATCCAAAAACAATCAAAAAAACATCGTCCCAGACTATTTTTGAACTAGTCCTGGATATTCCTCCTGTAGAGGGACATGCCCGATTTAAGACCAGGGGGGGGCTTCGAGCTCCTGCTTCTGTCGTGCGATCTGTTGTTCGATTTCCTGTCGGCAGGGCGGTCGAGGTCAGCGCCTTCAGCAGTGAACTGTACGGGCAGAGGGCCCAAGCCGCAGCGTGCTGTCTGACCCCCTCTTGGCGTTAGCGACAGGCTCCTCCTCCCCCTCCCCCCCCTCCTCCTCCTCCTCCCCCTCCTCCTCATCCCCCTCCTCCTCATCCCCCTCCCCCTCCTCCTCCTCCTCCCCCTTCCCCCCCTCCTCCCCCTCCCCTCCCCCTCCTCCTCCTCCTCCCCCTCCCCTCTCCTCCTCCTCCTCCTCCTCCTCCTCCTCCTCCTCCTCCTCCTCCCCCTCCTCCTCCTCCTCAATGAGGGGGCGAGGACAACAGTTCAGCAGGAGGCTCCCATCTACCTCTGGGGGTGCCTGGCATCCATGTCGGTAGCGCCTCATCGAATTGCTCGGCAGGAGCAGGGGGGAGCTTCGAACTTGAACCTGTCATACAACGCCGACAGATCGGCGATAGGCCCCTGGCAGCCGAACTGCACGTGCTTGTGTCCCTTCTCATCGCTCGAACGCCCATGCCCGTGCATTTGTCGGCTCCGTGCGCGTGCTTTTGTTGCCGGATGACCCAGGATGCTCCTCGGTTTCTGTGCAGGGTAGGCTATCGGGACAGGCGGTCAACGGGCGACGCGGGGGGTCGATGCACTCCCCCTCGAGCCGGTTCGTTTTCCACTCGGACCGCCCGCTGGAGCAGCAGGAGAGCCCACAGCACCCGACGCGACGGCGGCACTGCGAGGCTCACGCAACAAATCGGTGTGAACTTCTGCTGCTTCGCTTGAAAACAGGGTCCATGAACCCAAGGATCTTCTTCAACCTCCTTCCTCCTCGGACCCAGAGCTGAGGGGGAAGACATCATCTTCGAGCGCCCCGCAAGAGCAGCTTCGGACGTGCCGTGAGGGCACTGGATAAGGAACCCATTGGATAAGGAATCCAGGGTCTGGAAGCCCGTTGGACCCAATCGTGGGCTGGCAACGGCTATCACCGCCGCCCTCGTCAGATAAGGAATCCTCCAGGGTCTGATCTTCCTGGGCGCCTTCCCTCACGAACGCCCCCATTGTAGGGGGGGGGCACTCCCTAAGCCGCCATCGCTTTACATTCAACCTACTTCCGCCGCCTTCCGCCGAGGAAGAGGCGTCAACTTCGCGTTCCCTCGAAATCGAGGCGTATCCTGAAGCGCCCCATGAAGGAACGCGTGGGCGAACCAGACATCAACCAAAGGCGGGCAGACGGTCGGTCAATAACGGCGTGGTGCGACACGGCACTGGAGGCGAGATTCGTATGTGAATATGCCTGCGCATTTTCGGCACGAACCTCTTTGCGCAACCAGTGCCAGCATCGGAAATGGACAGTCGCAGAAACCAGAAAGTCCAGACCACACCGCTGACCAGCCGCACCGTTCGCCCAGCCCTGTCTCAATTACTACAATCAAAAACCCGAATAAGGACGCGCGGCAAGGACGCAAGACCCTTGGAGGCCGAAGCTGGGATTTTTGGGGCGGCAGACGACGAAAACCTCAAGGACGCAAGAGCAAGGAAGAGCAAGGACGCAAGGGTACCCTGAGCAAAATCGCACGTCCTTCTTAGGGTTTTTGACTGTAGCCTGCAGTTCGCCCGCCCGCGCCTGCCGGCTGTCGACGATCACCTGCTCCATCTCGATGCGCACCACCTTCACAAACAGGCGGTCGCCCGCCTCGGGAGCGCATCGTTGGACCTCGTCTTCGTCGTCGACACCGCGCTCGCGCGCGCGGAGGAGCAGGAAGAGCAGTAGGAGCACGAGGACAGAAGGCATCGACGGTGTAAGCCAGCTGCTGAGCTTCATGGCAACTGGCGTGCCATCTCGCGGCAGGGGAATCAGTCAAGAAGGCATCCACAGCGCCCCACGATGCGTCCTCCGATGTGCTTTTCTCAATCTGCGGTTAGGTCGGGCATGTCCTCCTCCAGGCGGATTTTGGAAGAACAATAAGAATGGTCAAACAAAACTCAACACAAATGGTCAAAACATAATCGAAACAACGTCCGCAGACTATGGTTTGGCTATTCTTGGATATTCCTCCTATAGAGGGACGTGCCCAACTAAATACTGCACCAACGCCATGGGCCCAACACCTGGCCCGGCCGGGTCACCAGTGCTGGTGCACGGGTAACGTCCCCCTGCTCGGCGAACGACACGCCCAACTATAGATAGATGAATAGATGTATACATACATACACACATATATATACATATATCCTCCGAAATGTTTGTCTCAATTTGCGGTTAGGTCGGGCATGCCCCCCTACACGCGGATTTTGAACGAAAAACAAAAAACAACAAATATTCAATAAAAGTAATCCGCAAATAATCGAAACATCGTCCCGAGACTATGTTTGAACTATTTTTGGAACATTCCTCCTGTAGAGGGAGGGACAGGCCCAACTTCAATCTGCGGCCCAAGAAATTCATGACCCCTTTCCGCGGGGGTAGTTTTGCGCCCTGGATCCATGCTTGGGCCCTGGGACCCGAAAGCAGCCCTCATTGGCCGAGGTGAAGGAAGACCGCCACGATTGATAAGTTAGCCTGGCGAAAAACCCACCCCGTAGCAACTTCATTACTTCATGTTAACGTTGGTGGCGAACCTCTATGTACACGATCCGTGGTGCGGAATGAACCGGAATGGGCAGGGAGACGCATGCACATTTTCTTACCGGGGCCGTAAATGGACCTCCCACGAAGGGGGGGGGGCACGAAATGCGCGAGAGGTGCGCCAAAGTGCGCGGGGAAACGCATGCAAACGTTCCCACTGGGGCGGCAGGTGGGTCTCGCAGAAGCGGTGCGCCGAAAAGAACGGAATGTGAAGGGTTCGCCGAAATGTGCTGCGGGGACGCATGCGAACGCGCCCACTGGGGCATTCGGTGGAGCTCCCTAAAGAGGCCGCGACACGCGTGCGTGGCGTGTCGGAATGGACGCGCGGAGGGCGCAGGCAAGGATGGGAAGAGGGGGGAGGAGGAGGGAGAAGGAGGAGGAGGAGGAGGAGGAGGAGAAGGAGGAGGAGAAGGAGGAGGAGAATAAGATGAGGGCACCATTCACTTGTCGTGTCTTCAAGTCTCGACTTAAAGAGCGTCGGCGAGGCACGCCCACAGCATGCCAACGGAAGACGACGGCAAGCCCACAGCGCTGGGAAACCAGCGACGGGCCTGCGAGCGCCACGGCTCGTGGATGGCCCACACGTGGGCTCGATAGCATAAGCCGCTGGCCTTACTGCACTCCCCATCCCTCCCGCCCCAACCCCGACGCACCCCTCCCCGCTCCCTGACATTTTTCGGCCCGCGCGGCAAGTCTTGAACGACCGTCTTGCTGCCTCTTCAAACATGAATGCCATCCCCGGCTGGATGGGGCCGCGCGTAGAAGCCCTGACACTCGAACGGAGAAGGCCGCCAGCCTCGCTGCCTGCCTGCGCGCCTCGGGCTCCCCTGAGCCGACCAAAGTCTGTCGCGCTCCTCTCGGGGCTCGGAGGCCTCCCGCTCGAGGGGGCCGCTCGGCGGCGGCCCCACGTTGAGGATGCCGTGCTCCTTCCTCAAAGCTGCTGCGACCGCTTCCTCCAGCTCGTGCCACTGCGTGCTGCAGCAAATTGCGATGCGCATGAGATTCCCCCGAGGTTCGTTTCGTCTCGCGCCTTTGACCCTACAACGACGAATCGGTTCTGCCAGGTCGGCAGGGTCATTCCTGAAAACCCGCTGCTTGAAAAAGGTCTAGACGATGCTCCTGTGCTGCTCCGACAGCCCTCCCACGGCGTGCGCTGCCTTGACTATTGCTTTGAACACGCGCAAAAAAAAAGGTGGCCCTAGTATGTCGTGCCCACCAGATCCGCCGCCGCCGTCCTTGCTGCGCTTGGCGTGCTGGTGGTAGTATCGGCCCGCTTCTTTCATGGCGGCAGCGATCGTCGTCGACGCTGGCATGAGGAACGCATGATGCACTGCCGCGATCAGGTCTCTCAAGTCGGCCACCTGCGTTACAGCAAGAGCCGCGAGAACCTTGTTATCACGCGCTCGAGAAGCTGGGCATTTGATCCTGCTCCTACGCCTGCGCCAAGATCCGTCAGCAACTCCCCGCGGCCACCCCCGTTCCGCGAGTCAGTCCTCCGCCCCCTTCTTGAGAGCCCACGTCGGTCCCTCGAGAGCCATGCTGGCGCTCAGGTGCGCGCGTACTAGTGTGCCTGTGCAAGTCGGAAAGATCTCGAACCGAATACTCTCTCACTCTCTCTCTCTCTCTCTCTCTCTCTCTCTCTCTCTCTCAAAGGACAGTCACACGACGCCGGCTGAACCACAGGCCCAAAGTACCGAGTCCGAGTCAATCGATCAGGTCTCGCACGCTTAGACATGGCATGACGATAGGCAGCTTGACGGATGGAAAAAAAAACATCTCCGCTATATGGGCATTGATTCGAGCCAAGAATCGCGGCGCACACATCCGTACGTCTGTGCACCCGCTGCAGATGCGTGGACAAAGCCCTACTCCAATGGAACGCCGACGAGCAGGGGGGCCCCGCTTCGCCCCACTCCACCATCACCTCGAACATGTTTGTCCCCCTCCCTGTCCATGGGCGCCTTCTCCACGCCCTGAGCCCTCAAGCGGCCCACGCCCACTTTCCACGAATCCCCCTTCACCTCCGTTTCGCAGAACAACTCCATCAGAAAGGCATAATATCCGCCAGTGGGCCCGCATGATCACCAACGCGCAACTCCGACAGGAACCACTCTGTATCTTCCACCGCAACTAGAGCCTTGAGGTCCTCGAGTACCCTCCGAGTCCACGGGCTAGCACTCGCCGTCAGCCTTCGGCCCCCCGCCACCGCCTCCTCCCCCTCCCAGCCCATGGCCCCAAAGTGCGCAGCCAGCCACTGACGGTGGGGAAATCGGATGCTTAGATATGGATTGCAATCGTTTCACGAACTCCCAGTACAACCTCAAGCGAACACAGCCCCCAATGATCTCTGACGCGCTCGTTTGACCACGAAGCGTGCAGCCCCTCAACTTCAGGGTGCGCCGGGCTGCCAGCTGGTCTACAACGTGCTGCAGCTCGGCAAGTCGGCGAGAAGATGGAAGATAGGCCGCTGCAGAGCCGCCGCGCCCCCCCCCAAAAAAAAAAAAACGTGAACACCGACCTCTCCAGCCGAAGAAGGACACCCTTCACAAACCAGAAACCTCCAAGATAACAAACGCCTTATAGCTAGCAGCGTTCCTAGCTTTGGACTCTGATGCAAAAACTTGGGCCACACGTGAGTCCACCACAAACTGGCCCCCATACCTAGGCGAGCGTCTCGCAGATCTAAATGCGCACCTGGGCCTACCAGACGCAACCAACGCACCTGCGCCTGCGAATTCTGCGCACAATTAGACTACGCTACGGCAACCGAAAAAAAAAACTGTGCTGACTCTCGCGAGCAGAGAAGCCGCTCGCTCTCATCGCACACCTAAACGGGATAGCTCAGGATCGTCGGCACACAGTCGGGGCGTTGACCTAAGGAACCCTAAATAAGAAACGAGGCCCCTTTTGTCCCATAAGTTAAACTTCGATGTCACATGGAAAACCTTCGGAAACCACAAGGCAAACTGCAACACAATCAAGGAACACCGAGCCCCTCCCCAACGGAAAGGGTTTCTTCTTCAGCGCCCCAACTGTACTAGCACAGCGAGAGGTCGACCGCATCTGGGTCGCAGGGGCGAGTCGCCACCGGCTGCCCCCCCGTCGCTCCCCCCGCGGCCCTCGCAAGCCGCCACCGCGCCACGCTCAGTTGGAGAGCCCTCGCCCACGCCGCCACCATGAACGAGTCCCCCATCATCCCACCTGACTACCTACCAGACCACTCCAACCCAACCCGAAGACCCGAATTTCGGGTTGGGGGGGCTACGGGCTTCATCTGTGTGTTTTCCGATGTTCCCCGACCCCCCCCTCACTGGAAATGGAGGGCAAATCGGGACCTTCGGGTTGGGTTGGGGTGGTTTGGTGGGCGGTGACCACCACAGCCAGGCAGCAAAAGCACCGACACGCATTCGCATCGCACTGAGATGGTGGCCTGCTCCACCCTCTGAAGCCCCACTGGCCACTGGGATCGCTGCCAAAGCAAAGAGTTCGCCAAGGGCCATCTTAAGCCGACGCTGGGAAATGCCACCGAAAGCGTTCGTCGCATCAAAAAACTGCCTACATAACAAAAAACCATCTGCCTGCTGCATTCCCACGCCAGAATCGAAGAGACGAGCACGGGGTTCCCTCTACATCTCCCAGGCTGATAACCGTGCACATCCGGGCCCAGATTGCCTCGGTTCATCAAAGCAGCAAACCACACTTACCCGAACGAGGGCAACAGGTGGGCCCATCGCTTCCCCGCGGTACCCTCAGCATCGGACTTTCACTAGCTTGACTACAGTGCCAAAGCGCGGAGTACGCAGAGGCAACCAGATACGCCAGTCCCGAATGCACAGCTCTAGTGCACAAAAAGGTGGGTCTCGAAGGCCCTGGCACCCCGACTCCTCCCGCTTGCTTCCTAGCCGAGATTCCCCCCCCGGAGTTCAGGGCAGTGTCACATGGCTCCACTGGTGCCGACCAATAGGGGGTAGCACGTCTCTTGCTGACCTCACGCAACTGCCTACACACTTTCTTAATGTCCTCACCTGCTCGCTCCCGCACGGAAGAGCACGACGGAGCCCAGCGCTCCTGCAGCGGCCGGAATTCTTCCCAACCGCCCAGCTCACCCGTCTCCATCCCTCCTCCAAGTCCAGACTGCGCCCACAACTTCACTTGCTCAAGCCAGGTGGGCAGGGCGGTACGGACCCCCAAAAAAGCTTCCTCTTCTTGGGTCCGATCCGCACTCCTGCTGCCACTCCTGCGTGAGAAAAGCCGTGTGGGGATCTCGCACACCCCACAAGTCTTTTTAATGCTCGAGATGCTCCTCTCTGCGCTGCTGAAAAGCAGCTTTTGCCATTCTCCTCAGCGTCCGAGTTGCATGGCGAATTTCCTCAGACATGGCCTCAAGGGCCTCGGACAAAACCCCCTGAAGGGCCTCGCGAAGCTCTCGGCCACGCTTCAGCTGCTGGGAACGATTCCCCTCCATCTCCCTACGCCATGGTATACTCTGCGACGCTTGTAAAAACAAAGACCTCGCCACATCATACAGAGCCTGCTCTAAAAATCTGAGCACCTTATTAGGAGAGTCTTGGTGCGCAAACCGCGCCCACTCTTCCTGACAAGGCTCCATCCTCCCGTCCACCCCGTCCAGGAAATCCCTCAACCCCTTCCTCCTCTCATCGCCGCCATCATCGCATGAGGGTGCAGTCTCTGCTCCACCAGACACGGTGGCTCCTGGGCCGAATGGACAACCTGGCGTGCAAACGAAGGTCGCGTGACTTCTACTGGCACAGGCATGTGAACGAGGCGTGCGGGTGTATTGATGATTTGCAGCCGCCTGTCTTGGTCCAGCAACGTTCAGGCAAACGTAATCAATGTTAGAAGTCATATCCGTCCCGAAGTAGGTGGGAAGATCGCATCTGGTCGTCACCGCCATCAGGTGATGACTCGAAAGAACCTCTCGAAAGGTCGCCCCCGCAAAGTGCTCAACCCCAGAACCTGGAAAAGAAGCTGATGTAGCAGCCACCACTTCCACATCGTCATTTCTCCGCAAGCCGATCCCCTCATTCGAATTACACATAATCACAGGAACCGACCTCTACGGACATATGGTCAGCTCTCGAGCGAGCCAATGCGTCATAGTCCTGACAATACGCTTGCAGGCCGGCTGCTTCTTGGTCTCCGTCACCTTCGGCGGGCAGTACTGCGCAATGATGAAGAAATTTTCGTTCATCGTTCTGACGCGAACCGCCAGGCACCGACCAGCCAGCCCATCTGCACTACAAGCAACCCGAACGTGCTCTTCACGAAAAAGGCGATGTAGAAGAACAGACAAACCACACGACTTATTAGAATTGGGCCCACGTTTCTACCCAGCCAGTATCAACGCCCTCGGACTCGACGCCGTTGGATGGCAAGCTCGTTGGCCTTCAGCTGGGTTCCCATGATTGTCACTGCCTTCACGTCAGAGAACAGCTCGAATACACGACAAGGGGATATACTACACAAACTTGCATGAAGGGCCAGCAAGGTTCTGAAGGGTACGCCAGAGCGGCATGAGGGACAGACATATACAATTTAGGCAGCTCACCAGGGCCGCCTCATCTCCCTGCGTCACCCGTTGGCCAACTATTCAGTCAAGGGAAACCTGCCAATAAGAAGGCTTAAGCCGCCCAGTTGCTGAAGCCAGAACGGCGCCTAGGAGGTGGAGGAGGAGGAGGTGGAGGAGGTGGAGGTGGAGGAGGAGGAGTAGGAGGAGGAGGGGAGAGGAGGAGAGGAGAATCAAGGAGAGAAGAGGACAGGAGGACGCGGGGCGCTGTCTCTTAAAAAGGAAGACCCAACACCACAGGATGATTGGGAAAAGCGATCCTTCGGAGGTCTGGGCTTGGCACTGCCAAAGCCCTGCTGCGGGTGCACCGAAGGAGGGGTGCAAGGAAGAGTGGAGGGTGCAGATCCTGGCGCGAGGCATGCGCGCGGACGAGTGGGGGTCAGGGGATGCGCTTGAGGAAAGTCGGGCTCTGAAAGCTTGGAGATCTCATGGCCACGGCCATGATACCCCCACACACACACACACACACACACACACACACACACACACACACACACACACACACACACATACTCCGCCCCCCCCTCTGGGACGCCCCCGACTTCCTGCCGCGCCTTCATGTCTGGGGTGCCCTCCCGCCGCCGCATGAGGCCGCTGGAGTAGGGGATGGGGCCGAGGTCGCGCAGCGACATCAGGACGCCGCGCGGCATGCTGTGCCTGAAGGCCAACCCCATCCTCCTCGTCCTCCTCCTGCCCCAGCTCCTCCTCCTCCGGCTTGTCCTGATCGGCCTCGTGGCCCTCCTTCTGCTGGTTATCGCGTCTCCCGTCCTCTTCCTCATGCCGCTCCTCCTGCTCATGGTGCTTGCCTTCCTCGTTCTCCTGTCATCATCCTGTTCCCCCTGCACCCGATGATCTACCTGTTCGTCCTTCTCCGTATCCCCCTCGTCCTCCTCCTCGTTATTATCCTCCGTCCCCTCCTCCTTCTCTCCATTCCCATACTACCCCTTGTCAGCATCATCATCATCATCATCACCACCATCATCACAGCAACAACAACAACAACAACAACAACAACAACAACAACAACAACAACAGCAGCAGCAGCAACAGCAACAACAAACAGCAACCAAAACAAACACCAACACGACCACAACAACAGCAACAGCAACAACAACAGCAACAGCAACAACAACAACAAGTTCAAGGCTGATCGTTCTCACACGCTCGCGTGCCGTTCAGCCCGTATATCCCAGACCATCGGCACCCACCCTCTTCATCTTCGATCGTATCCCTCTGAGGGTAAATCTTCCTTGCCTGCCGCGTGTAATTGGCGCAGCCCCTGAATTGGGGGAAGAGGGGACGGATGGAAGGGGGAGGGAGAAGGATGGAGCACGGGATTAACAGGATGGGGGCTAGGAGCAGAAAACACGTGGCAAACCCAGACGGGCCAATCGGGCGGGTAGACCCTAACGGGTGGGTCGAGAAGGCGGGCCCAAGCGGCTAGGTCGAGAAGGCGTGTTGATGAAGCGTGAGTACTGCATGAATCGCGAAGAGAGCTCGAGCGATAGCGCGATTCCCAAGTAAATCGTGAGAAAAGCCGAAGCGAAAGCGTGATTCCTGAGAGTCAAAGGCGCGGCGTCTGCATAAATTGCAAGGAAGTCCCACGCGACAGCGCGATTCCTGCATAACTTCTGAGAAAGCCCCGCGCGAGAGCGCGAATTTGGAATAAATTGTGAGGACGAATCAGGCGGGTCCGTTGTTGTTGTAAACCCGGGGCCAAGGGCACAGTTTGGTGACCCTGCACTTTCCCAAATGAAAAACAGGGTGCGAGCCCCGATGAGGGCACTTCAATTGAAAAAGTACTGGTTACCGGAGGGGGGGGTCAACAATGACTCTTCTTGCGAAATGAAATTCCAACAACGCCGACATCATCAACAACGACATCAACCCCAACAACTGCAACAACATCATCATCCTCATGACCACCACCCACGTCATCACCACCAACTGCAGCATCATAGTCGTCGCCATCACCATTACCGTCACCATCGCCATCACTATCATCATCATCATCATCATCATCATCATCATCATCATCATCACCATCATCAGCAGCAGCAGCATCATCAGCATCATCATCACCGTCGTTATCATCATCATCATCATCATCATCATCATCATCATCATCATCATCATCATCATCACCTGAATCAGCAAATTCATCGGCGTCAGCATCATCATCGGCATCATTGGCATCATCAGCAACTTCAATACCGACGTCGTCGTCGTCTGCAGAATCATCATCATCATCTCGTTGGCAACAGCATCAGCATCGCCATCACAATCGTCGCCATCACCATCACCATGATACCCATCATACCCATCATCCATGTACGCAGCACCCTGATCAACGAAACCAGATTCCTAGGCAGTATTATCGTCGTCATCGACATCATCACTATGATCATCACTATGATCATAACTTGCATCAAGAACCACAGCATCATGATCATACTCATCACCACCAGCATCATCGTCATCATCATCGTAGTCGTTGCTGTCGATGTTGCCGCTATCGCCATCATCATCATCATCATCATCATCATCATCAGCATCATCGTCATCGTCATCATCGTCATCGTCATCGTCATCATCGTCATCATCATCAGTACCAGCATCATGATCATCATCATGATCCGCACCATCATAGTCATCATCATCGTCGTGGGCAGCATCGTCATCATCATCATCATCAGCAGTATCATCATCGGTATCCGCATCACCACAATTATCATGTGTAACCATCCTCATCATCGTCGTCATCAGCAGTAGCATGACCTCAACCAACACCGCCACAACAACAATCGTCATCATCAACATCATCATCACCACCATCACCGCTACCAGCAGCATCGTGACAATACCGTCACCACCAACAGAATGATTACCAGCATCATCAGCATCACCGTCATCGTCGTCATCATCGTCATCAGCATCACCATCATCACCATCATCATCATCATCATCATCATCATCATCATCATCATCATCGTCGTAGTCGTCGTCATCAGCATCATCCTCATCACCACCATCCTTCACCGCCTTATCTGGAACAAAAACATCGATGCCCTCTCTTCTCCGTCGCACCGTCGCAACACTTCCACCCTCGCGGAGAAGGCGATTGAATGCCATTCGGGTCGGATTTGTCGATGTGAGGTCTATTCGAAGCCTCTCGTGGTCTGTTGTGCGGGCATCTCGTGACCTTTCCCATGTCTCTTGGGGGCTGATTAGGGGCCACTCGGGGCTTCTCAGGGCCTGTTGGGACAATACTGCTGTCAACCACGGTTGGCTTCAGCGTCACGACTTGGAGGGCTCCAGGGTGCCTCTCGGGCCGTCTTGGTGCAGTCTCTGCAATGACCTAAAGGTTTTGAGCAATGAGTGCATCTCTGGACCCCTGGGGTTTCTTCTGGCGCCCTCTCGAGCCGTCCGAGGGCCATATTGCGCCAAGTTGGAAACTGCGCGGGCCATCCAGACAATCTTCGAAGACAGAATGGCAATCTCCAGCGCCATGTAAGGCCATCGGTGCCCTGTGCCGTCTGATATGCCGTCTCGGAGTCTTGAATCATTACGGGCCAACGAAACCACTTTCACGTAGAGAGCACGATTTACGCGTCCGCCAAAAATCCGCCGACTAGTCTGACAAGAGCGCATCGAGCGCTCCTCGAGCGGCCAGAAAGAGGGTGAAGATCCCTCCCTGACATTTCAGCGCGCCGTCCGCCATCCCCAGGCACCTTACTATGCCGATCATCACCTTAGCGAGTCAAGGTGGCAAGGCTTCCCAGCACAGGAGAAGCTACACACCGGTGTAAGACGATCGCTGCGGTGGCTCTACACAATGCATCTCAGATTACTCGCAGTCAAGACAGCTTATCAGGACGGCCACCAGAGCTTCCGAGCAGAAGGGCCAGAAAAGCATCCCCTCAGAGACTAGTCTGCCAACGGCGCGCAGCCTTGCAGGAAGTGGCCGCCGCAGTGCAAGGTCCTAGCGAGTCCGCGCCTGCCCTGATACGGGAACGAGAGATGTACAAGGTGGCTGGAAGCACTCCGCGCTGCGACGCGCAGCTTTTCTTTGGGTCAGAATGCGGCGTATTGGATAGAGAGCAGAAAATCCACCCTCATAACAATCACCCCGACACGCGAAGCCGCTCAGCAAACGCACGCGAAGAAGGAATCGAACAGGGCAGGGCTGTTAAGTAAACGCCCAAGGCCGTTCTGTAAACGCCAATTATTGGTTCTGGGCGGTTTTCCCCTTGATTGGGATCGAGCCAGACAGGACAGAAGAGCCCGCGCCAGAGCGAAAAAAACTGCGCGCGGCCTCTTAAAGCACTCTCGGTGGATTGAAGTGTTCAGAGCTACTCTAAGAGGCTACCCCTTGTATTGAATAGGATGGTGATACACGCCATGCAGTAGCTTGACCATTTTCGTCCTTCTCTCGATGATTACGAAGCAACACAACCTTCTCACTACTTAGTAGATGCCCACGCTCGTATGCGCGCTTTGCAACCTTCTTCAGAATCGTGACCCGTCCTCGTACGCTGAGGAGCCGACAGCAGACACGAGCTAAGCGTCGATCACTTAGGACGGCGACGTGCGTGCAAATAAGCTTGGGTCCGCCAGTTTTGCCAACCAGATGGTGCGACATCATTATTAGGTTGGTATGGCCTCGACGCCACTCGCAGGCGACGAACCAATAACAACTACACACAGGATGTGGCATACAGCACACACACACACACACATACACACATACATACAAACAAACACGAATTCGGAAGCCGCGCATGCCTCCTGGGGGATCGGCGGAATGGCGTAAGCCTCTTG